GCCGACATTGATTCGCTTCAATTTAGCCAAGCCTAGCTCTGATACCAATTGTTACGGAAGCAAGCGATCGAACAATAAAATTGAAATAAGAAAATAAACCGGACACCAAATTTACATGGTTCCTACGTCCACGGAGAGAGCATCACGAAATTCCACTATTGATCAAACGATACAACGGAGATTACAATCACACTCGAGTCACTTAAACACTTTTGGTGTTTCCTAAGCTCTAATTACACCCAATAACTCACGTAGTGTTTAGCCCTACAATTCATCACGAAATAATTTCTCAATCTCACAAAGGAATTACACAAATTCTTACCATAAAATTTAATTGCTACAAACACTTGGATATCTTCAAAGTGTAATTCACTAGCAGAAGCTTCTCTTTGATGATCTTCACAAATAACATCCCCTTCTTATTTAAAGGCAAGAATTGGATTCAAATTAGGAAAGCTCTTTTTAGAAAACCTTCCCCAATTAGGAAACTTTTTCCAACTAGGAAATCATTCAATTAAGAAACCTATTCAAAATAGGAAACCTACTTGAATTACGAAACTTTCATTTTCGGGCTCAAAATCGAGACATAATTTTAACAATAATAACATCAGTAGGTACTAACTTGTTATAACATTTAAGCAAAACATAATGAAATACATGGTCCTGGGAAGAAGGTCAGGTCAACTAGCGCCACTACTCCTACATTAGCCCAAAAGCTAGTCACCATCTAACTCAAGAGTTGATGGCCTCAGGCATCGTCTTGTCCCCTCCAATGTCATATCCAAGGGATCATCCTCCAAACTGAAAAATAAAGAAATGAGCCGAAGCTCAATAAATGAAATCTCTAGTTTTAAGTTAGAACAATCATCTTATCACTTCACTTGGTATCAACAAACAACGAGTGCATAAAAAAACCAATAAAATTTCATAAATTATCCACTCAAATGCAAACAAATGACATATTGTTTCATGATGCATAAATGCCACATAGTATATCACCCATACAAACTTGTGAAATCATGATTGTCACTGGCTAGGACCATCTCGATTCACGAGGCATCGTCACCACCAATTCATCGGGGACGAAATCATTCCTACCCTTTGCCATGCCTCAACCCATTCATCATGGGTGTCCCTTACATTAGCGAGAATAAATATACCACTGTACATTCGTATGATAATAACTATTTTTTAACATCATACCATGACTATAAAAATCATGTCATATCATAGTTATAAAAATCATGTCATACCATGACTACACGAGTCATGTCAACATAGGATATCATATCATCTCAATCTTGTAGAGAACCATCATACACGGTAGAACATCTGCCGAACTCTAGAGTCTTATCCTCAGACTCATACAAGGGAATTCGCTCGATAGCGAATAAGTAATGGCAAATTTATTAATCACATCATTCGCATGCAATTCATAGCAATTGCCATGTTCATCACAATAATCTGCCATTTTCTATTCAATTAATGATAAACAATCATTTACATGCACTTCAATGCACATACTCTTCTTTCCTTCTTATTTGGTTAGACATTTATCAACCTAATGAACTCCATTAGTTACTCAATCAAATAAAGGAACAACATGTGGTTGTACTCAATAAATGGATATACTCAAAAGACAAGTGAATATGTTTAGATTCAGAGAGTAAAATCTACTCGGGTTCATAAGTAAGTATATTCAAATTCAGAAAGTAAAATCTACTCGGGTACAGAAGTAAGTATGTCCAGATTCTGAAAGTAAAATCTACTCGAGTACAGAAGTAAGTATATCCAGATTCGGAAAGTAAAATCTATTCGGGTTCAGAAGTAAGTATGTTCAGATTCGGAGAGTAAAATCTACTCGAGATTAGAAGTAAATCTACTCAAGCTCACAAGTAAATATATTCAGATTCAAAAAATAAAATCTACTCGGGTTCAGAAGCAAATATGTTCAGACTCAGAAAGTAAAATCCACTCGGGTTCAGAAGTAAGTATGTCCAGATTTCGAAAGTAAAATCTACTCGGGTTCAGAAGTAAGTAAGTCCAAATTTAGAAAGTAAATTTTACTCGGATTCAGAAGTAAGTATGTCAATATTCGGAAAGTAAAATCTATTTAGGTTCAGAAGTAAGTATGTTTAGATTCAAAGAGTAAAATCTACTTGGGTTCATAAGCCAGTGTGTTCATACAAGAAAGTAAAATCTACTTGGTTTTAGGAGTAAATGTACTCACGTTCAAATTCATCATTTTTACTTACCAAATATACCACACTTTAAGAAAGCCAATCACACACCTTTTCAACATGTACGAAACCAGCAAAATGAATCAAACAATCACCATATCCAATATATTATAGCACATCAAAATGGCATATCTCAACCAACTAGCTTAAAAGTGTTAGGTAGATTGAACTAATTTAACGTCTAGAGTCTTCACTTACCTCTAACAAAACTTGAATAACCCAAAGCTTAACCGACCTTGTAATTCTTGGATGATGTTACTTTGAATCCTAGGTTCGGAAAGTGATGAAAGTAAAGGATATATTCTTTGAAAGTCTGAAGGTGAAGAAGCATTACGGCAAAAGTGAAAATGAGTTTTATATTACTAAAGTTGTGGTGGTGACTAGAGAGAATTCATATTCAGAAGGGAGATTGCATGTAAATCACATGTGGCCATGTCTCCCGTAGTGGATGGCCAAACGGAAGAAGAATTTGATGATAATGCCTTATGGTGATGACATTTGGTCTTTAGGTGTCAAGAGTATTCCTTTGAGTGAGACACTTGGCCTTGCATATGTTCTTAAATGGCCAAGTGTGTTTAATGTGTCAAAGAGCATGGAAGCATTTCATCCAAGAAAAACAAGTGGCCTTTGATGCTTTAAGAATAAAACAAGTGGCTTCTTAGGTGGCTTAATAAAAAAGATGACTCAAGGATTAGTGATAAAGTTTGAGTACAGAGGAGGCACATGGCCATGCAATTATAAAATGCCACGTGTTGTGTTTGTGTCCTAACCAAAGGAATTTGTGAATAATCACAATAATAACAATATTCTTCCACCTTTGGGGCCATTAATGTAAGTAATAAACTTTTAGTACTAATTAACTAAATTTTAAACAAATAATACCACTTATCAACAACTAAGACGACGTAAATTGATTAACATCGATCTACTATTAATGTATACATCAACATTTATAAATTTTAATTTTCAATATGTTGAACTCGGAATGATTACGTTTGAGAAAATTCATCCTCCGCACCTCACAAAATTTACGATTCGATTAAGATTTCCACATATTCACCCAAATTCTAAGATAAATAATACTTATCTTTATAATCTACGATTTTTTGGATGATTTTTCTCTCTTAAATATCATGTCATTTGTTAAATTATGGCTCGAGTTTGAGTCCGTATGAGAAATATCAAGAAATCCATTTTCTTAATTGGATTAGTATCCATCAGATGATGTAGTTTCCTCGACTGGTTTCCATCGAAGGGGCAAAGGTTATTTGGCTTATTAGGTTTTGGTCAAAGGAGATATGTGGTAGTTGGACTCCCATATGTAGCCGCACACGAGGGAATTAAAAGCTCCCCAAAGAAAGCCACTGCAAGACAAAATAAGGGCTCGTGTATTCAATAAATATATATTTATTACGGGTTGAAAAGGTCTTTGTCGAGGAAAGAAAACAATGTAAAAAAGATTAGTGAATTGGAAGTCCTAAAACTTATCATGAAAGTGCAATTGAGTCTTAAATCTTTTCAAAAAGTGTAATCAAGTCCTTAAATCTGTGCAATTGAGTCATAAACTATCAAAAAGTGTAATTAAGTTCTAAAACTTGTTAATCTGGTGCAATCAAGTCCTAAAACTTGTTATTATTTCCGTTTGTCAAGTTAGACAGAATAAATATAAGGAGTAGATTGCACCAACTTGACAAGCTTGATGAATTGATTGCACTTTTGGATAGTTTAAGAACTAAACTGAACTTTTGTGACAAGTTTTAGAATTTAATTGCACTTTTTAAAAGTTTTAGGACTCAATTCACTATTGTGACAAGTTTTAGGACTTCCATTACACTTATCCCAAATTAAACATAGATTTATTAACTTTGCCTCTCTCGTTCTTTTCTTTTGAAAACAACCAATGGGTTCTCCAATAGAACGCACACTTTGAGCCGCACGAGGGAACGGTCCAACAAGGAGCATTGGACACACGGTGGATTTTGTGCTATGAATTTACATCATCATTGAGTTATTTTTTTATAAACATTGTTGGATTATGCTTAATCTAAGTATGAGAAACACTCGAAAGTTGTCCGATTATCAATGAATTATTTGCTGTTGGGTCTTCCTGTTGAGTAAGTATCAACACTTGGACCGTAGCACGTAAATCTCTGATGTCCATTATTGTTCATCATTTATTTTTCTAGTGATTTCACGTTGATTTAATTTCAAGATCCTAGATAATATTACAACATCCTTAAACTCGAGCATGTTAGATTTTGCCTTTAGTTTTGTCTATTGCGTCCCATCAATCCTACGAGATGTTGGCCTTAATGGGATTCACTCTACCAACCGTTAAATGCAGCCTTCCTCGTAAAATCGTCTCACCTGATGGGCGAGGAGGGGCCGATTACCACGTCTTATAGTGTTTTACTCGGTCCATGAATCCGTGAGTCCTTTGCGTTCCGCACAGGGTCAAATCAAATTTACATCTTCGACTAAAGTTCAATTTCGCTAAATTCGCTGCTCCGAAACGCTTTTCACACTCATCCTCTTCATCACACACTAAGGAAGAACAGAGAGCCCTAACTTTCAGAAGCACGAAGGAGAACAGCAATGGACGCAAGAGAACAAGGACAACAAACCAGGGAGACGAAAAGGCAGGAGCAAAATGGAGTTTTATTTATACTTGGAGATCGAGGAGGTGCAAGTACACGAAAATCTATCATATGGAAATTTATGGATGATGTCTTTTTGAACCCATTCTATATCTGTTGTTACCTTTGCAGATTACAGCTCGTGGGCCAAAGCCAAATGACTGGTTCCACTTAAAAACACGTCAAGGGTAGACGAAAATCAGCATGGATTATGGATTATAGCCACACAAACCCTAAAACACACGCACTCCAAGTAATCATAGAATCAAAATACGAACAGTACCCAGAATACCAGCCAACCCGTCTCCTTGCTAAATGAATGCTCATTGACTCCATACATCCTCGATGAAGCGAGCCAAAGAGGAGTAAGAAGAGCCACCCTCCGTCAAAGCCTTCCTGCTCTTCTCGCTCAACTCCTTCACCTTCTTCCTCCTCTCCCCAGCCTCCTCGCCCTCCATTAGCTTCCTTATCCCTCCCTCTATTTCGTCTGCCATCACAACGAGGTCACTCTCTTTGGCGAGATCTCTCTGATAATCGATCTTGATCTCTGCCGCGAGGCCGAGCTCCACCACTAGCTGGAACGCGTTGAATTGTTGCTCTGCGTACTGGGGCCACACGGCGATCGGGACACCAAACCATATGCTTTCTAGGGTGGAGTTCCACCCGCAGTGCGACACGAACCCTCCAATGGCCGGGTGGGCTAGAACTGTGACCTGCGGGGCCCACCCGATCACTCTCCCGACCCCGGCAGTCCTGTTGAGGAACCCCTCGGGCAGGACCTCTGCAAGATCCGCGTAGTCATGGGGGTCTTCCATCTTGCCCTTCACTGGCGGCTTCCGTAGGGACCACAGGAAGCGGTACCCGCTCCGCTCCAACGCGTGGGCAATCTCTTTTGCTTGGCGCTCGTCGAAGCTCCCCTTGCTCCCGAAGCATAGGAACACCACTGACCCGTTTGGCTGTTGGTCGAGCCAATCCAGGATCTCGAAACCCTTTTTGCTCTCTGCCTTGATGTTTAGTATGGGGCCCACGGGGTACACCTTGGGTGCTCCAAGGTCGGCCAGGGCCTCCACCGCACGCGGTTCCAGCTCGGCAAATGTATTTACCAAAATTCCCTTCGTTTCCCTAAACCTCCGGTAGCAACTCATGAGCATCCGGCAATCTTCTTCCGTAGACTCTACTACCAAGGGCAAGAACTTGGCGACAGGCAGCGGGTTAGCGATGCACGGGAAGTCCAGCTCGGCGTCAGAGCCCTTGAGCCTGGTCAGGTCCATGTGTTGCTCGTCTTGGAGAGACTGGAGGTGCAGCATGATTCCGAGGAACGCCGCGCCCGATGTGAAGAACATGTAGGAAGGGACGCCGAACTCGACGGCCACGTCGATCATCGAGGTGCAAAACATGTCAACGACGAACCCTGCGAGCCGTGGCGTGTTGCAGGCAGAGATCTCGGCAACGGCCTCTCGAACGTCAGGTTTGTGGCTCTCCATGAAGTGATGGATGAAGGCAATACGGGACGTCCTTGGGGGCATGTTTCGCCGAGGGAGGAGGACGAAGCGGATGCGGGCAGTGGTGGAGGCGACGAGCGACTCGACGAGGGTATCGATCTTGGAGTCGAAAGGGAACTTCATGATGAGGACTGTGATAGAGAGCTGATTGTCGCGGTCGATGAGGAACTTGGCCATCTTCACTGTCGACACCACGTGGCCGACGCCCGAACTTGGGATGAACACGAGCTCAGATTTAGCACTCATGATGACGATGATGCCTTCGAAAATTCTTCTTGTCCTTACTGAGTTCACGCGGTTGCGAAGATGATAACGAGGCAGTGGGTATGAAGGAAGCACGCAAAGAGATGCAAATAGATCAACGGGACAAGGTGACGAAGTTGTACTGATTGTGGTCTGCGTCGCTGTATAGTATGACTCGCGTCTGTTGGATTCTAAGCTCAGTTGTTGCTCGCCGTCAGTTTACTCCACGTGAAATTCTAAAATCACCTCGGCACACGTCAACCTAAGGGTCACAGGTTGATCGATCTAGCGTTCTCTTACCCGTGCGACCTTAGGATTTTCTTCCCAAGTCAGCCTTTCCCACACTCACTTATAAGATGTTAGAGAGAGAAATTCTAGAGAGAGAATGAGATGTACAAATAAGGGGAGGAGACCCCTTTATATATAAGTATAGGACTGACTGTATCCATAGATCCCTCCTCGATCTAACGGTGGAGATCATACCTCCCCAAGTACCATGTACCTCCATTTATTACAAGAGAGTACAATTACAGTATAGCCCATCCCTAAGAGTATTCTAGAATATTCGAGAGAACCCTGAGAGTTAGAATCCTCGACGTCCGCCCGCTCATTCATGGATTGGTCACGGTCCTTCGTTCAGAATCCTCGTGAACGATCCAATTCTCAAGGCTATGACATTCTCCCCCACCTATTCGGGCGACGCCCTCATCGCGCATCTTCGGCATGAAATGCATCGATTTGTTTCTTGAACTGCAAAAGAGCTTCTTCGGGCTCCCAACTAACTTCACTCTCCGGAAGACCTTTCCATCGGATCAAATATTCTCGCTTTGACACACGATACCGCTTTCGTATGATTGGATCAACCATTATGAAGTCGACATCTCGATCATATGAAGTTTTTGCTCCAAGTGGCGCCTGTGGCGACTCCCCTCAATTCGCGTCTTCTTCATCTACATGGAAATGTTTAAGCATACTAACGTGGAATATCGGATGTACCTTGAGTTTTGGCGGAAGTTCCAATTTGTATGCGACCTTCCCGACTCGATGCAACACTCAGAACGGCCCTTCCTAGCGACGGCCCGTTGTACACATCTCTATACTGAAGACTAAGTGTAACTTGTGATGCCCCAGAACGTCACGCGTGACACGTGTCTTTGCCAATTTTATCTTTTAATTTATAAATAGCACTCGGAAGCGCAACTAAATTTTTTTCATCATCCCCAACATGAAATCGCACAAGTTTAATAATATATATATATATATATATATATATATATATATATATGCGTCCTCTACTCCCACATTAGCCCAGAAGCGAGTCACATCCAACTCAAGAGTTGATGGCCTCAGGCATCATCTTGTCCCTTTCCATCGTCGTATCCAGGGGATCATTCTACAAATTGAAAAATAAAGGAATGAGCCGAAACCCAATAAATGAAATCTCTAGTTTTGAGTTAGAACAATCATCTCACCACTTCACCTAGTATCAATAAATAATGACTGCACCCGAAAACCACTAACATTTCATAAAATTATCCCCACTCAAATGCAAACACATGACATATTGTTTCATGATGCATAGATGTCTGATGGTAGATCACCTATACACACATGTGAAATCATATTTGTTATTGGTTAGGACCATCTCGATTCACGAGATATCTCGACTAACGAGGCATTGTCACAACTTGTGGGGGACGGAATCATTCGTACCATTTGCCATGCTCAGCCCATTCATGACGGGTATCCTCTACTTTAGCGACGATAAATACACCACTATACATTCGCATGATAATGGCTATTTTTTAACATCATACCATGACTATAAAAAGTCATGTCATCCCATAGTTATAAAAACAATGTCATATCCGGACTATAAAAGTCATGTCATGTCATGACTGCACGAGTCATGTCATCATATGATATCATATCATCTCAACCATGTAGAGAATCGTTACACACGGCAGAACATCTAGCAAACTCCCGAATTCATACTCATACAAGAGAATTCGTTCGATGGCGAATAGGCCATGGCAAAGGTCTTAATCACATCATTTGCATGCAATTCATAACAATCGCCATGTTCATCATAGTAATCTGCCATTTTCTATGCAAATAATGATAAATAATCATTTACATGCACTTTAATACACGTACTCTTCTTCCCTTCTTATTTGGTTACACATTTATCAACATAATGAACTACATTAGTCACTCAATCAAATAAATGAACAACATGTGGTCGTACTCAATAAATGGATATACTCATAAGACGAGTGAATACTTTCAAATTCAGAGAGTAAAATCTATTTGGATTCAAAAGTAAGTATGTTCAAATTCAGAAAGTAAAATCTATTCGGTTTTAGAAGTAGGTATGTCTAGATTTTGAAAGTAAAATCTACTCGGGTTCAGAAGTAAGTACATCCAAATTTCGAAAGTAAAATTTACTCGAGTTCAAAAGTAAGTATGTCCAAATTCGGAAAGTAAAATCTTCTTGGGTTCAGAAGTAAGTATGTCCAGATTCGAAAAGTAAAATCTAATTGGATTAAAAAATGAGTATGTCCAGATTCGGAAAGTAAAATCTATTCGGGTTCAGAAGTAAGTTTGTTCAGATTCAGAGAGTAAAATCTACTCGGGTCCGGAAATCAGTATGTTCAAACTCAGAAAGTAAAATCTACTCGGTTTCGTAATTCTTGGAAGATGGAACTTTGAATCCTAGGTTCGGAAAGTGATGAAAGTAGAGGATATTTTCTTTGAAAGTTTGAAGGTGAAGAAGCATTACGGAAAAAGTGAAAAATGAGTTTTATATTACTAAAGTTAAGGTGGTGACTAGAGAGAATTCATATTCAGATGGTAGATTGCATGTAAATGACATATGGCCATGTCTCACGTACTTCATGGCCAGATTGGAGAAGTATTTGATGATAATGCCTTATTGTTGACACCTAAATTTTGGTACACCATTTAGTGATTAATTGCATGAAAAATTAGGGATTAAATTTTAACCCCTAAACAAAAATATCAAAATCGCATAGCATATAGTTTAGGATCATATAATTTAATTGCATTCCACATTGGACGGGCGGCGGTGAGTAAGCTGAAAATTCATCGCATAAACCGAGCTCGGACACCAAGCATAACTCGGCTCACCTAGGGGATAGGGGCCGAAGATCATGAGTCCAAAAGGCCTTGATTATCTTAATTTGAGCTTAAATTAGCTCATTAAGTTTAATTAAAGAAAAGCCTAAATTAATTCAGCCCATTTAGAATTAAATAAAAATTAAAGGATGAAGCCTAAGCCAAAACCTATTAGGTGTTGAAAGCCCGGCTAATTAACCTAGGGTTGCGATATAAATATGTGATTATACTCCTTAATCAAGGAGGCTCTCATAATTCTCAAATCAGAATTTTTTGGAGAGAGAGAAAGATTGACGGTCCCACGGCGGTTTCTCCTGTGCTTGGCAACCATCCATCATCTCCGCGCCAACACTTCCATCGTTCGAGAGAATTGGCCATTGAAGACCCATTGCCAAAGCAATAAAATCTAGTCAACACTAGACATGGTCAAGCGCACACAGAAATTCACAAAGTGAGAGCAAGTGCAGGGAAAAGTCAAAAGTTGGAGTTTTCTTCACTGTTGCATTGTCTGCCACTCACACCAACGCCATCACTTGGGTCTTGCTGATTCTTGTGCTCTAAATCAGCGGCATCTTACGCTCCAAAACTTCAATTCAGTCCGTGCCATTGCGATTCAGTGTTCCAGCGATTCTTTCAGCAAAATCAGTAAATAGGCGGGCCAGTCCTTGCCTTGCGTCGCTCGATCCAATTTCTCCAGTGTTTGCTTGTTGTTCAACCAAGTCGACGGTCCAGCACAAGCGTAGCCGCACGTCGGACATATCCAGGCGACATCGCAGTAGCCTTCACTCTAGATCAGTGTGTTCCTCGGCTAGGCAAACCACCCCAGCGAGTTCATAGCAAGCATTCCAGCAAGCTCGACTCAACAATTCTTTCCATTGTCTCCCTGCCGTGCCATAGCCGATCCATTATCGAGCTGAGGTTTGCCAAGCATCCCAAGCTGTGATCGAGAATCACGACGACTAGCTTCACCGTTGCCCGCCCGTCTATCGCTGGTCACCCACTGACGACCGGTCCCGATCCGCAATCCCGACGATTCAAATTTGGAAATATCCGTCAAATTAGGTATGATTGATATCCAATATTTTTTCAGAATATTTTAAATTCCTAGTTTAGGTGTTTTAAATATTATGTGAATATTTGATGGATTGCTAGATCTTAGGGATAATGTTTGCTCTATCCGCAATATTCTAAAACAGGAAAAATTGTCAAATCAGTCCTAAACCTATTGTACGGCGGCCAATTCAGTCCTAAACCTTTTAAATTCTTGCCAATTGAGTCCTTCCGGCCAATTTTGGCCGGCCGGCGCTGACTTGGCCGCCGGCCGGCGCCAGCCGTCCGGTCAACGCTGACGTGGCAATTTTTAATTATTTTTTTAATCTTTTTTTTTTCTTTTTCTTCTTTTTTTTTTCTGGTTTCTCCCCTCTGGCCGGTCCGGCCACTGGCGGCTGGCCAGAGGGGAGGGCCGGCGAGGCCTCTGGCAAAGCTCGCCCCGCCGGCCACCGGCGAGGCTCGGCGAGGTGAGGTCGAGCTTCGCCGTCGCTTGGGTCGCGACGGCGAGGGCAAGGCTCGGCGAGGCGAGGTCGAGCCTCGCCGTCGTGACCGGGACGGGCGGGCTCGAGGCCTCGCCGAGCCTCGCCGATCCGGCGAGGCTCAACCTCGCCTCGCGACCCGGCGACGGTGAGGCTCGACTTGCGCCGCTGCTGGGTCGCACGGCGAGGCTCGGGAGGCGAGGTCGAGCCGCCGTCGCGACCCGCGACGGCGAGGCTCAACCTCGCCCTCCGAGCCTCTCCGTCGCCCGGGTCGTGACGGCGAGGTCGAGCCTCGCCGATCGGGCGAGGTTCGACCTCGCCTCGCCGAGCCTCGCC